TCATGTCCCCAAATCCAAGCCAGCCCTGCGATGGCTGCAAGATCTGGCTGCTGGGGCTGGTGATAGCCTGAAGCCAGGAGAGATGCCACCTTCAGCCAGCATTGCCATGTCTGAGAACATCTGCCCATCCCCTGGGGCCACTGCATCTCCCAGCACAGCATGCAGGATCTCTGCTGGAGCCATGACCTCCTGCCTGCTGTCCCCTGCCTGCTGTTCCCTGCCTCTGTCCCCTGCCTGCTGTCCCCTGCCGCCTCTCCCCCTGCCTGTGAGCTGGGGACACAGCCAGTGTGCTCTCCCCAATGATACAGCCATGCCCTGATGCATACCACTCACTTCAGATGGAGTTTGGTTGTATTTCTGGTATCTGTAAACTTTAGATCAAGCTTTTTTGGTCAGTCTGTACTTCAAAGTTCTGCCCTAGTGCTGACGGAGGAAGAAACCTTCCCAGGGAAAGGTGACCATGCATCACTCCAGCTTGGTTGTGTAGGGGTGAAGGTGCAAGGCCACAGCTTTTGGGTCTCACCCAATGCTTTTGGGTCCTGCTCCACTCATCATGAATTCCCAAGCAGTGTTTGAATGCTGCACCTGGGACAGGATGTTCAGGCTTGCAAAGAAGGCTCTGAGAAGGGGATGCAGCTTATATTTCCATTGTCTTAATTCTGCAGATCTAGGAAAGATGTTTACTGTTTCCAGTGTAGATATTTTTGCATTTCATTTGATAAACTAGGAGCTTCTAGTAAAAGGTTTCATAAACATTTGCACCTGGATTTTTGAAAATAGATATTAAAATCAATGTTTTATACAGACATTATGCCTTTATTTTGAATGTAAATAAGTATTTTTAATAATTTCAATAAAAATAACTTTTTGGCTGGTAGTTACACTATTTTTGTCATAACTACACTTATAAGTTGGAAAAAGAACTAATACAAGTTTAAATAAGTAGGAAGGAAGAAATGTGCCATGAGGAAATATAAGCTGGAAACGCGGTACAATTTTAAAATAAAGGAACATATGCCTAAACCCTTGTGTAATACAGATTGGTAAATCCAGTCACTCTTCTACACTTAATGTATAGAAGACTATCTGCAGTTACAGTACTCCGTGCATGCAGTGATTAGAGGCTCTGAGCCACCAGTGCAGCTTAGCTGACTGGCTGCAAACTCAGCTTTGACATTCTAGGGCCAGAACACTGCACCTGAAATCACTGGCTCCTCTTGATCTCCATGAGGGCCAAGTATTTTTGGGGCTGCAGCTCTGCTGACAAAAGTGCTTCTACCCTGAGCAGCACAGGCTGCCACCAGCTGCAGGTGCCACCAGCCCTGGTTCTCCTGGGACTATGCTGCTGGCTTTGTGTTAGAGCCAGCAGGCTTAAAATGGTCCAAATACATCTATGGCATCTGTTCTGAGTGCCACGTGGACATTACATCAATTAACGGGATCATCAAGGAAGGACCAGCACTGTGTGGGAAGTACCACACAGGGGACACGAGCTCTGGGTCAGGAAAGAGAGAGGAGCTCATATGGGCTGGTGGCTGAGGGACAGAATGAGGCAACAAGTGAAAGTTGGAGTGGTTCAAAAGAGGGAAGCAAAAAGCCAAAGTGAAGGAAGTAGCTCAGGAAAAGAGATTGAAATGTGGGATGAGACATGGGAAAGCAAAAAAGAAACAGGAGGGAAAAGGTAGGGAAAGAGATGGATATGAGACTAGGAAGGAGGCAGGGTGCAGTACAGGATGTCTGGGGTAGGAGAAGCAACTCCTGAAGCAAATATCCAAAAGTAGAACAGAGAGGAGGAAGAAGGAAGAGGAAAAAGGAAGGGGAGAGCAGGCAGAGAGGAGTTCAATAAATCGTGTTTTTTCACATTTTACTCGAAGGGACCCTGTGCACCAGCCCTAGACCCAGGCAGATATGGCCATGCTGCATTCCTGGGGGGCTGCTGGGTGTTTGACATTTAGATCTGTGCCGTGCATATTCCTAAGGTGGTACTGGTGTAAAGCTGGGCTTTGCCAGCCAATTTGCACTGGCATTGGATACAGCCGGTGCTGGCCTGGAATAGCATAACATGCCATTGCTAAGTAATATTTACTGCATAGAAAATGCACAGTTAGCTGGGCTGAGCTGCTCTGCCATCAGCTGTGGACAGCATCTGTTTCAGCAACTGATGTGCAAAGAGCTCAGTTTTCAGATGCAACTTAAAGGACTATAATTTGCCCCTAAAAAACGGAGATTGTTGTGACATTCTTCTTATCTGCTGTTCTTTTTTTCCCTGGTATGTAGCACTGCTAGTTCTTTTTCCTGCTCCAGCACTGCAGCTGCTGCCTCTAACACAGCAAAAGGTGCAGAATGAGCCATGCCAGTGCAGGCAAAAAAAAAAAAAAAAAAGCAGTGTCGAAAAAGAAGCGGCAATGGGAGAGAGGAACACAGAGCAGCAGGAGGCAGGTGGTTTGGGAAGCTCTGGGAAACTGCAGAAGCATGAAGCTGTGTGCTGTGTTCTGTGACTGAGCAGAGAACTTCCAGAGGGAAGGAGGATACTTCACAAAGGCACAAACAGCAGTCACAGGGAGATTGCTGAATTTAGTGTTTGCATTGTGAAAGTCAGGATGGAACTTTATGGCTATAAAAACCCTAGCCCTGCCCGAAAAGTAGCTTTACAGAGCTTGTTTCTGTTCCCAACAGGTCTAAAACCAACAAACCATATGTGTATTTTAACATGTTCTTTATAGCTGCCTCTGAAATTTTCCAGGGAGGGATGAATTTTTAAAAAGTGAATGGGGTGTGGCAGTGTTATAGGCAAGTGTATCGATAGTAAAGAGAAATACTAGATCATTCTCTGACATTTTAAGATGATAGCTACTGGTTTAAATATAAAATAACAGTCCATGGACCAACTGTTAGAGATTCTCGTCACTGACCCTCTTCAGTAATTTGGGTTTTTTTCTGGCTGCTGAACTTTAGAAATCCTCAGAAGATAAATTTACAGTCTGTGTCTGCTCAGGGGGAAAATTATTAAACAAGCAACCTCAAACAATTAAATAAAACCTTAGCTATATACAATCACTTTAATTTCGTCCTTTGATATTGTTCATCTGATTAAGTTCTTTCCAAACAAACTCCACACAGAACTTGGCGTATGAGGAGCGGACTAAGCCCATATGTATCCTGACAGGAGTGTTTACTCAAACGGAGTTATCCCAGCCTTGCTGTGCGTACTTGGGGACGTAAAACGGCCTGGGGACAGGAACTCAGAGAACAATAAGGATAGAGAAACTTAGAGGAAATAACCTACTGAGAGAACAGGAATGCAGTGGGAGCAGAAGAATCAGTCAGAGAGGAAGACATCAGATATTGGGAAAATGTCCATGAAGAAGGAGCAAAAGATGCCCATGAAGAGAGGTCGGAGAGGGGCACTGTGGAAAAAGAAACATTTTGAAGAGGGAGGACAAGGACTGCCAACACAGCAGGGCAGGGTGTGAGAAAATATATTTCTAGGGGTGCAGCACCCCGGCAAAGAAGGGGTGCAAGTTCACAGGCAGTGAGGAGGAAGAGACCAGATGGCACTGCATAAACTTTGACTAGGGATGCTGCTGTTCAGCCAGCAGACCAGTATTTCTGGCTGCAGAAACATTCTTTCTTTCCCCATCTTCCTGGACAGGAGCAGATGAGAGACAGGCCTTGACCACATAAGATATTTTGAGTTTGGCACTGTAAAATCTGCTGTACCTGTGGAAATTCACCTTGTTGCCTGGACTGGGGCAGAGCAGGGCTGGCTCGTAGTGCCCGCCTCGTGGTAGCCTTCTGTGGAGGCAGTGCAGGCAGTGATGCAGAGCTTTCTGCACTGATGGTCTGACTGCAGCTCAGGCACTGCTGGGTTTGGTTTGCTACTCATTAACAGTGTTCAGGCAGTGTGGTTCCCTGCTGAAGAGCCAAAGAAGATCAGGGATGGGGACAGTGTAGCCACACAAGCTCTGTCAGCACCTGTGCTTTTGGGCATGCTAGATCAGTGATCCTTCCCATGGATGGACCAGCCTAGAGTTCTGGTACCCTGCTAGAGGAGTGAAGCCCTCCCTGCTGAACTGGGTGCAAGGGGATTGCTCTGTCCTTGGACAGGACTTCCTGGGCCTGGGGAAAAGGTTTCTCTCTGCCATTCTAACCTGGTCCTTAATTCGGCAGAGGAGTAGGGCAGGACAGTTTCCCCCAGACTGAGAAAGAACAATTTTTGGGGCCCCAAACTACTCAAAACACTGTGGAGAGGGTGCCAGAAGTGACAAGATCAGTGGAATGGTATTGAGGGCGTGCACATCCAAGTCACCCAGCAATATATCAGGGAAAATGCCTCAATGGGCACTACACCGTTCCAGAAGAGTCCACAGGCACCGGTGAGGGGCTGGCAAAGATGGCAAGGGAGGAGAGCCCATTGTTCAGTGGCACTATCCTGCCAGCTGCACTGAGCGAGTGGCCCGTGGGGTGCACATGCTGGGTCGCCAAAGCCACCCCGGCTGGGAGTGCTTGGGGGTCCCCACGGAGGGGTGAGGGTCTCCGGAGAGGGGGGAACTATAAATCCCTCTCCTCAGCGCCTGTCCGTCCAACTCCCTGGGCGTGACTTGTGCTCGGCAGGCAGATGGAGGAGGGAACGGGGCGAGGGGATCCCTGCTCCCGGTGCCGCGGCTCTGCCAGGGCCCGCGGATGAGCTCGGGGCGGAGGGCGCAATTGGCGCCTCGCTGTTTGCTTCCAGAGCTGTCGGGAAAGAATCGTCTTCTGCGGGATAAAGTCCCTGTCTAGGCGGGTGAATTGCCCGTGTCCAAAGTCTACAGGCAGGAGTCTGCCTGCTGCAATCCCCGCGAGAGGGATAACTTTTACAATATACGTCCTGATTGCAAATAAGTTACTAATAAGCCGCTTTGGCGTAAGAACGGCTCTATGCATTATTTCCTAAGATCTGTTTATTTGCAAATATTTCTTTGTTTTTCTTCTTTAAAAAAAAATCGTTCGGGAAAATTAGAAAAAAAAAAGTACAGAAGTTAATATTTAGACATTCATATTATTAAGTAATAGAGCTATAAACTCTCAAATAAGGCACTTTCATTTTACTTAACAATAGATAACACAACAGCGACAGTGGAACAGACCAAACAAAAGCGATCACCAAAATTGTTGTGACAGTACAATTACCCGGCTAGGAAATTTATTCAATATGCTTTACCATTGCATTGACACAGCAGGAAAAAAAAAGCCCAAATGCTCAGAGAATAATACAAGAAGGCAGGAGGTATTTGGAAAAAAAGAAAGGATTTATTTTGAAATACATTTTTAAAGAGATACTTTGTCTCCATGATTTGTTATCGATGTGCATCTGACACGATACAAAACAAACAAACGAAGAAAAAAACACGTTCTGTACAGAGCTCTAAAATGAGCCGCGATTATCTACAAGATGAGCTTTACGCTTGGGTGTGGGTTGGAGAGGGGCCCGATCCTGCAGTCCGCACTCTCTAAACGAGTTTCGCAGACATGTGGTAGGAAAGCTTGGCCCCGAGTCTGCGTGCGTGTCTCCGTGTGTGTGTGTGCGCGTCTGTGAGTTCCTACAATACACTCCTTGAGTAAAGTGGGCAAGTTGGAGCTGCCGGAGCGGGCGCGGGTCCCTGGCTGCTCTAGAAGTCCTGCCGCGGGGTGTGAGTTAGACTGTGCCGCCGTAGATCACAGTTTCGCCTGAACACTTTGCCGCACTGCTCACAGTTGTAGGGCTTGATGTCTGTATGGGTAAGAAGGTGAGTTTTCAGGTTACTTCTTTGATTAAATGTTCTTCCACATGTGGGGCATTTGTGTGGAGATTCCTGTTCAGATTTGAAGCAAGCAAAGGATTAATCCTTCACAAACCACCTGGTTTAACGTATTACTGCACTTTTTCCCATCGCAACGCACAACTTGAGATATCGGGGGAGGAAACGAAAGAGAGGAACCCCGTGCGGCCGGGTGGCCGCCCACCTCTCCCTATCCTGCCCCAAAAGCCTTATTTTATAGTTCTCGAGTCGTGATGTTCCGTGCCCCTAGGGCACACGGAAAACAGCCTCCGCGCCGCCCTCCCGCTCCGGGACCCCCGCTGCCCGCCCGGCCGCCACGGCGGCCCCTCTGTACCGCTCTGCATCCCGCCGGGCCGAGCCAGGCCAGGCTGGGCCACTCCGCATCCCGCCGGGCCGGGCCGGGCCGGCCGGGCCGCCCCGCTGCCCCACGCCCGCCGCCGCCACAGCAGGGCTGCAGCCCTCAACGAAAAACGCCTCGAAGCAGCGGCGTGGAGAAATCCGAACCCGGGGCTCACTCCCCGCCGCCAACCGCGCTCCCGCTGGCTTTAAGCCTGTCTCCCAAGGGCGCCGTATTTCGGAGGTAACCACGGGCCGCTGTTAACCCGCGGACCCACGGGGCCGTCCAGTGCCGGAGCCCCCTCGCTCCCCTCCGCACCAGAGCCCTGTTTCCCCCGGTAGCCACTGCCCCTGCCCCGCGGCGAGCCCAGCCAAGCCGGGCCGAACCGGGACAGCGCCGGCGGCACACGCGCTGAGAGGCCGCGGAAGCGCGGGCTCACCTGCATGTGTAAGGTTTTGTGGACCGCCAGGGTCCTGGACTGGCAGAAGCCCTTCCCGCACTCCTGGCACTTGAAGGGTTTCTCTTTGGAATGGATGTACCTGGAAGGCAACCCATGGGGTGAGCAGCATTGCCGGAGGCGCGTGGGCCACATGACCCCAGACCCCGCTACTCGGCCCTCCCCAGACGCCCTCACCCTTCTCTTCCTTCCTTTCCCCATTATTCTGTGTATGGTTAAACTTCTCGGCCGGTTCAAAACATTTGCAATAATTCGTATCGAAGCGTGACTGCACTCTCTGGTGCCAGATCGGGACAGCATCTGCAGCTGCCGGCCGGACCCGAGCCCGCTCTCCTCCCAAGGCGGAGAGGATTCTCAGCTCTGCGGCCGCGGGCTCCTCTCAGCACCGGCCGCAGTGTGCGGAGATGGGTGGGGGTCAGCAGGGAAGTGCCCACCTGCGACCCATCCTGCTCCCTGCACCCCCCCCGGGGTCATGACTCAGAAGCACAAAAGCCAGGGGATCTTCATCTCCGGCTGTGAACCCCTCTGGCTCTCCCTCAGGCGGGTGCCCTTCCCACAAAGCGCAGGTTTCGGCTACCCTGGTCCCTCCGTGGCCACGGAATCTGAGCCGGGGGCTTTTCCTGAGCTGTTTCGGTGGCTCCTGGAGCCGCTGAGTCTCATCCCCCTCGAGCGGCTCACCCCACCCCGGCTGCCTACGGCCCGACCGCGGTCGTGGTGGTCCCTCACCGGTGGTCCCGCAGGTGGTCCTGCCTCCGGAAAGCCTTGTGGCAGATGTCGCAGGTGTAAGGTCGCTCGTCTGTGTGGGTTCGCTCGTGGATGAGGAGGTTATAGGACTTGGTGAAGTGCCTGCCGCAGAACTTGCAGATGAACTCCTTTTTCGTCTTGGAGGGCAGGCGGCCGCGAGAAGGCTTCCTGTCCGGGGACAGCTTGCTGATGCCCGACAGGGGCGAGGCCAGTCCGGGGCTCAGCTTGGCGAGCTCCCCCACCTTGGGGGGGTCCTCCTGCGTGGCGGCCACGGCCAGGTTGGCAAAGTCAAAGCGGGGCCTGTCCTTGTGCAGTGCTGGGAGGACGTGGGCGATGGCCCCTTGCTTGGGGTGGAAGAGGTGCGTGGCAAAGGGGAGCGCGGGGAAAGGGAAGCGGGAGTCCACCAAGCCCTGCGCGGCCGCCATCTCCGTGATGGTAGAGCGGGTGATTTCATGTACATTGGGGTAGCCCAATGTCCAGTGGTTCATGTGCATGGTTTGCACGGCGCTGAGTCCGTACAGACCTTGCAACTGGTCCACAGCTGCGGGGAAGGTGTTCACAGCCTGGAGGAAGGAGTAGTTAGTGAGTTGCAGGGACGGGTGCAGCGGGATGGGGGCTGGCAGAGCCTTGCTTCCCATCTTCCCGAGGTGAGCGCGAGCCGGTGGAGCAGCTGGTGCCTCTGATGGGCTTCCGAGACGGGAAGAAAATCCTAGGAAGAAAGAGGGAGAAAGGAGGGGAGAGAGACTTTTACTGGGGGCAGCGTGGTACTCCTGGTACTCGTTAGCCGAGGCGGGCGCAGCAGCGGAGCCAGGGAGGGCCAGGAACGGCTCCCGTGCTCTGCCCTGCCGCAGCCGCAGCCCAGGCTCCCGTCCTCCGCCGGGACCGGCGGCCGACACCGACCCACGGCGCGATCGCTTCGACCGCAGAAGCTAAAGCGTAGGAAATAAATAAATAAAAATAGAGCTGCCGAAACACCCACCCCAAATTAAAATAAAAAAAAAAGAGAAAATCCAGCACCGAGCCAACCGAAGGCGCCGCAAATTCAAATTAAACGAATCGTCTAAAAATATAGGCGGAAACGAGACGCGGTGGGGGACGAAGACTCTCCGCTTTCCGTCGCCCTGCCACCTTCCCCCGTAGCGCCCACCGCGGGGACCCCGGAGCCACCTCCCTCCGGCCCCCCGCGCCGACCTGGCCCCCGGCGTCGCTCCCACCCTCCGCCCGGCCTCCTGCGGGCGCGGAGGCCCCGACCCCGACCCCTCCTGGCTGGGGCCTCCCCGGGATAGAGCAGGGTGTTCACGGAGAGCCGAGTCAGGCCCGGGGGGCAGAGCGGGGGGGAATAAACCCCTCGTTCGTCCTAGCTCCGTTGCTTATTTTTCTTCCTTCAACACCAACTCATTTATCAAGATAACCGAAGGAGAGAAAAGGAGCCCCTGCCCCGCACGCACACCTCCTACCCAGCCCCCCGCGCAGCAGCCATCCCACCGGCGGCGAGAAGAGCGGCCGGCCCGGAGGCCTCCCCGGCCCGCCGAGGGCCGCCCGGCCCGGCCCGGCGCTGCCCCGCAGCCGGCTCCCTCCGTGCCGCAGGGCCGACAAGGGCGAGCGCAGCCCCGGTGGGACAGAGCGGTGTGCCGAGCCCCCCGCACCCCCTCGGGCGTCCCCCGGCCGGGAACTCCGCCGGAGCGGCGGGGCCGTGAGCTAATGAGCGGTGTGTGACTGTCAGAGGGTTTCACTCAGCCCATTCAACCGAGACAGCCGGGCCCGCTGCTCCCGTGGCATGGGGGTCCCCTCGGTGGGCCCTGGGCGACGCTTCCCTCCCGCAGGGTAGGGGGACATCGGCCCAGGGGGCAAGTCCCTGCCATTTCCTTTTTTTTGCTTTCGTTGAGGGTTCACTTCCAGCAGCCAAGAGGCTGCCGCGACCCAGGAAAGCGGCCAAAGCAAACGCCGGGGTCTCTCCGGGCCTGTAAACAAGAGGTAGGGCCGAGGGTGACCCAGCACCTCAAGGGATTTGTGCGGAGGGTCTGGTAACGCACAGTTTCCAAAATAAACAAGAGAACCTCCCCCACAAAAATCTTAAACCACCCCCTCCTAACAACAACAAAAATTAAGGAAACTCTCCGAGTGCAGAGCCCGCGCTCCGTGAGTGGTGTCCCTGCCTCCCGGGCCGCTGCCGCCCAGCTCCTGCTGTTCCGCCGGCACCGGGAGCACACCGGCTGGAAAGATACTTTTCGTACTTTTCAAATTTTTTTCCCTAAAATACCTTTCCTCCGCGTTTGTGGCACAGCACAGTTGGCCGACTGGGGAAAAAAAATGTGGCAATAAGGTCGGGTGTGAAGTGCAGTGCTGCCTACTCCTGTTTTCGTTTGCCTCGAGTCTTGGCTCTCCGGAGCTTCCTCCGCTGCTGCCCAGTTTTCCTCGTTTGTGTCTGTATCGCCACCGGGGACAGCTATCGATACTGTTATTTATGGAGACCTTTTCGTTTAATTGTGGGGGGTGGTTATATATAGAGACTTATTTTTAAAGATGTTTTAGTGAGAGTTCCTATTCGCTTTTCGCTACGAACCGAAACAGAGCAATTAAATCACTTTCGCTGGCTGCTGCCTCCTGCCTCCACCCCAGAGGCTGGATTTCGGAGCCACCGGCTGCGAGAGAAGACCGAGGTAGGGGCAGTGTTTCTGTAGGGCAGAGCTCCCTCTGTTACAGCCGCATTTGGTGGCTGTGTGTGGAGGTGTCATTGCACCACGCTCGTTTTGGTGTACAAGAACCAGCTATGATAAAACTATTTTGAACACGAAAACCTAATTTTAAGGTAGAAACTTTTAAAACTACGCTTCTATCTGAATGGAGATACATCTGCTAGTATTTGGAGGTAACTTCAGAAAAGCGTATAAAAAAAAGACCAGAAAGTGCCTTCGTACGTGATTTTAAGGCCATTTAAAGGTGTGTTGGGGCGGGAGGGGTGAAAGTCAACCAAAAACGGATGTTACTTAAACCTTGGCACTTCCTTTTCCCTTTCCATTCAGAGAGCTTAATTAAAATAAGCCCGGTGCCAGGACAGCCCTCTCTACCTGCTTGCCGCCGACCTGCTGGTCCGGCCCGCGCTCCCCGTTCTCCCGCGGCGGGTCCGGGACCGTGCCCCAGAGGCGCTGCCGTCCTACCCAGGCAATGGGTGGGCACCGGGTCGCCTCCGCTCCCGAACCCTTCACCCGAAGCCGCGGCCGCCGCTGCCCGCGCAGCCAGGTGCTTTCCCCGACCGAGATTTCTCCAGTGCGACCCGCGGCTTATCTCGCAGCCCATGCACGAACGGGCTTCTCCCTGCTAGGAGTTTCGCGCATCCCGGGAGGCTGCCCGTGCCTGGCCTCGCACCAACGCGCCCGCGGTGTGGAGCGGGGGACACCCGCACCCCAAGCCGCCGCGGAGCTGCGAACTGAAAGTAAACCCGGCGGCCCTGCGCCCCCGGCGGAGCGCTCGCTCCGGTCTCGGGGCGGCCGCCCCGCTCCCGCCGACGGCAGCGGGCAGGGCGGGCAAGCGGAACCACTCACCTACCGCAGCCTGCTGCTCCTCCCGGGGCAAAGCTGAGGCGGCGGCCGCGGCACCTTCACGGAGACATTAGATCCACAGCGGGGGCGCTCAGCGGGGCCGGGGCTCGGCGGCGACCGGCATGTTGCGGAGTGCTGGGCGGCGGCTGGGAGCTCTGGCCGCGGCGGTCCCGGGGCCCCGGCATAGACCGCCGCCTCCCGCCCGCAGCCTCCCGCCTTCGACCCCGGCGAGGCTCGGCGCGAGTCTGAGCCGCCCCCTGCCCGGTCCATCACATTTCAGCGGTGACTGGCGTGGAGCATGTCCCCGCCCGCCCGCCGCCGCCGCCGGCCCACCCCGCGGCGCGCACAGCCCCGCGCTCGGGGCCGCTCCGCTCCGCCCCGACGGGACGGGACGGGACCGCCCCCGGCCGCGGCCTCGGCCCCGGCCCGCCCCGCTGCTCCGGCCCCACTGTTTACTTGTGTTTGGGTAGCAACTGGGCTTTAAAGTGGCAGGACGCCCCCCGCTCCCCCCGCGTCACCTAAGGTGACTTTTCCCTCCGAGAACAGCTCGACGCCCCCCGTCCCGCTGCCGGCCGCGGGTATTTACGAGCTCCTTGCTTCCCGCCGCTGCCCGTCGTGCCTCATCCTGGGGTGACATAAGCGGCCCGACTGGCTTAAATATCTAAAATAACACCCCCAAACCCAGAGAGTGGGTTTTTGTGGATGATCATGTCGCCAAGAATGAGTGCTCATGTCCAAATGGGCTTGTGGCCATCATGTCGAGTCGCCCGATGGACCGTCAGCGATTCGGCGCTGCCCTTTCACAGTGACTGAGTCGCCTAAGGGCAGATTCGGGAAGAGAGGCTCCGCGGAGGCATCCCCGTGCTCGGTGACTAAGCACACAATCCCTACCTGGAACAGACACATAGTTTCGAAAGCAGTTTCGATTTATTACCGGGGAATTTACTGCTAAAAGGGGCCTCCCTGACCCTCTTCAAATGTCTCGATTAGGGAGCTCAATTCATGTTCGTCGATAGCTGCAATGCGGCTGGTTGCGTGTGTCGGCTTTGGGTTACGTTTTTTATCTGTAATATTATCTTGTCATGTGCGTTATTTCAATCACATGTATGGAGAATTTATGGTATAATCTGGACTGGAAATTGGAACTAGAATTGGAAAAGAATAAAAGTATGTCAGGGAAAATGGCAGTTAAAGGACTGCTTTGAAAAATTTTCAAAGGTAACGTCTATGCTGGTTAATTCAAACCCGAGGTAGAGAAGAGGACATAAATTACGGCTGTGTGGGGATTTTTTTTCTCCTTCTAGTGTACAGTAAGAAAAAATTAATCAAAGAGGGCAATAAGAGTCGGCAGAGGAAGTTTTGGCCGTGTCCCCTCACAGGACAGCAAAGCAGAGGATGGCGCACGCTGCAGCCCTCGGCTGCAGCCGGCCGCCGGGGCTATTTTTCGTTTTCTTTCCACAAATCCCTACTTCGAAAATGTTCTGTTTTAAATCAGACAGCCTAGATAAATAGCATTTCTTCTACTGGGCAGTGAAGATACGGAAGCTCATAATTCTGGGAGAAGGAGCGATTTCCTCGGTCCGGGTATGAGGTGGGTGCGGGCCGCCCCGGGGAGCCTGCACAGGGCAAGAGCTCGTCAGCCACGGCTGCGCTGCGGGACTCTGGCGGGACGCGGGGGCAGCACCCGCATCCTCTCGTTTTGCTTTCTCGAAAGAGCCCAGTTGCTTCAAGAACGAAGTGAAAAGGGTCTTTAGCATCGCAATTTCTTCCCCGCACTGCTGCCTTCTGGATACCAAGAAAAACACCCCCAGACTCAAGGATCAAGGGGAAATTATTTCGGGAGAACCACCATTTCTTGCCCTTTACAGCAAGTAGAAATAAGTCGCACTTGTGGAGAAGGAAAAAAAAAAAAAAAAGATTTAACAACCAACCCAAAATCAAAACCAGAATCTAAAAATATCCCCAAACAACAACGACCTCCTCAAATCACAAGCCCAACAGGCAACGAAAAAGTCTCAAAGCGGAGGGAACTCGGGAGAGGGACGGTGCGATGCGACGTCACTGCCCGGGCTGTTCGCTCCCCGGCCGCTCGTGGCACCTTTCGGCTACCCCGCGCTCTCCCACCACCACCAGCGCGGCGGCCGCCACGCACGTTAGCGCTGGCCGGGACCACCCGGTGACCCCGGCGCGACTCCTCCTGGCCCGGCCGGCAGGTGCGCGGCGAGAACCGGCCGCGAGCCCCACCGGTAATGCCCCGCCAGCGCCGCGCCAGCTCCGCACCAGCCGGAGCCCGGGGTCGCTCTGATGCTGGGGACGCTCCACGGCACTGGTACCCGTCGAGCAGGGGCGACACTAGCCGGGGCGCGGGCCGCCAGGTCCCGCAGAAGCCCAGCACTCCTAGGTCACCTTTTCGCGTCCACCTGGGGCGAGCCCCTCCCGCACCCAAGGCACTGCCCTCCCTCGGCGCGGTGGCCTCCCTGTTGTGCCGGGCCGGGCGCGGGCACGGAGGGCGGCGCGGGGGGAGCCCCGGGGCCGCTCTGTGCCCGGCGGTGGCGGCCCGCGGTGCTGCAGCGCCGCCTGCAGGTCAGCACGGCGCCCTGCGCAATCCTCCCGCCCCGGGGCGGGCCCGACCCCGCCGCGGGTGTCCCGGCGGACCCAGCACATTGGGATGGGGGTCCCGGCCGACCCAGCACATTGGGATAGGGGTCCCGGCGGACCCAGAGCCGAGCTCTCCCCCCACTGCCCGAGAGACGGCGGCCCCGAGGAGCGCGGAGGCACCACCGCTACCGGCGGGCGTCCGAGCGCTCACCTCGCACCTCCTCCTCCCATCCGCGCGTCCCGTAGGTGCAGACATCGCCGCGGTTATCTCAGCCTCCCCCCGCTCTCTCTTCCCACATCTCCCCAAAAATTCATCCAGAGCGCTGGATTCCGTCCAGGGGAGCAAGGAGACAGGGAGTATTTGCTCTTGCTGCGAGGAAGAGATTAAAGCAGTTCCTCCGGAGCTGTGAAGCTTGGGATAAACCTTGACCATTCGCCCCTTTCTGAGCACAGAAATGCTCCCGGGAGACGGCAGCGAGGCCCTGCAGTGGCGCTGGCCGGTCCGTCCCGCGGGGCACCGTGCGCGGCTGCGGTGCCTGATGTGTGCACGGAGCGTTATCGGCAATGGGGGGCCGCGGTCGCTGGGAACTCACCCCTGCGAAAATGAACGAGGCAGAGTCTTCAGAGGGGCTCAGGGGTACGTCTGCAGCCGAGCCCGGAGGGAGAGGGGCCATCAGGCACTCGGGCCGGCTCCAGCTCATGACAGGGGCTACGCCAAGGGAAGGGGCCGGGAGCACAGTTCCCGGTGCAGGGTACCTTGCTTTGGGAAGCGACCCGAGGGTCCCCGACGGCCGCTGGCTCAGGGAACGCTGCCGGGGCGCGTAGGGCAGAGGCCGCTGGGCAGGAAGGGCAACTGCGGACTGAGCAAAGCCCTGGGCTAACGCCGGCCGACACACAGGTCGATGAGGCGAACGACTCGGCTACACACTGAGGACTCTTTTTTATTCATTATTATTTTAAGGAAAACAGTGACCGCCCGTCTATCTGGCATCTGATTCCGCTGGTGTTTCTTGGTGACTAAATAATCACCGGCTTCGCTCCGATTTATTGGGTGGGATATTCTGTTTTGTTTTTAATGAACTAGTAAGGAAATGCCAAGATTTGACAAACGGGCGTAGGCGGCTGGGGACGCGGCTCTTGGCAGGCTCCGGGCGACACCGCCGCTGTAACTCCCGCTCAGCGGTCCCCCTTTCTGCCTTCTCAGACTCAGATCCCCATAGACTATCACCGCGATGAATTTGCGTGGAAGAAGAAAGTAATTAAGCAGGCAACGACCTCAGTGGGCTGGATACCGCCCGCGTCTCCCCCGGACGCGCCAGCCCCGCCAGCCCCTGGCCCTCGGCCCCTGCCTGCGGTCCCAGCCGCGGGGCTGCCCCTGGGCAGCAGGGAGCGGGCCCAGCCGCCTCACCCGCCGCACCCGGCCCGATGCCTCCCCGACGGGCATCACCACCTCAGCCAGCCCGACGGGTGCCTCCTCCTCGTCTTCCCCTCTCTAGGGAACACAGAGCCCCGGGGGCCTTTTGTTCTCCGGCCACTGCCGAGTGCCAGCTCCCCGCCCCCGAAGCTCCTGGCTGCATGTCGGACACGGCGGCGCTCACGGGCGCACCTGGGGAAGGTCAATCCGCCTTTGGCAGAGCCCGCGTTTGCTGTGCGTGCAGCGGTGGGGGCCGATCATCCCGCGGAACTTGCCCGCTGTGCCGCAGCTATTGCCTCTGTGCAATAGCGCGGTGCGATGGAGAGAGGGATGGGGCGGAGGCGGCCGCCGGCGCCGCGGGGACCGAGGAGGGGATGCCGCGAGCTGCGGTGCTGCCACCTTGCCCCGACGGCGGGCCCCGAGCCCTCGATAAAAGGACTTTTCTAGCCTAAAATGTTTTCTAGCCCACCATCAGCAATGAGATGTCTGAAGTGACCGAAGTGAGAAGATGTCAAGACGTAAAGAAATACAACATGCTGTACCTTGCTATAGTTTGATTTAAGCAACCAAAAAGCCTTTCCTGCCGTCAGCACAGAAACACCGAGCAGAGCTGTGCTGTGGAGGCATAGACACCCATTGCACACGAGTGGGCCCCTTTCTCCATACCTCACCACCGATCCCGCCCCCCAGCTGAGCCCCGGGACTGCAGAGGGTCCCCAGGCTGACAGGCTGTGCTTACTCTCTGATGGTGGCATTTTACCTCTCTTGGCAGACGTGTCGAAGGACACCTGTAAGGTGAAGGTCGGCAGGGCTTCAGGGCCGACTGCCTGCTGTATGGCCACGGGTTTGCAGAGTGCACTCCTGAGTTAAAGCTGCCTCAGGCTGAAGGGATCATGAAGTTTGCAATCTCTGAGCCAACTGCTAGGGGGGAAATCTAAAAGAAATGCTGTATAAAAGCAATAAATTGGTTTAAGAAATGCAGTTGTACATTTGGTCGCATGCCTCGTAACTCACCTAGGACATAAGAACTCCAAGGCAGCAGAGAACAGACCCATACATCTTCTCCTGTGGCATATATTAAGTAACTCCATTTC